CCAAAATAGTTTAACAATGAATATACAATACAAAGGAGGTGTTCGTAGAGCATTCTATTTACCATCTAAATATATTATTGATCAAAAAATTACTCTCCGTATCCTCTTAAAAGATTATAGCTTATTATTCACCATTAGACACAGATGTTTTGTCAAATATTTATCAAAATAAATATATTAAAATTAGACGTACCGAAAATTTATTAAATGCCTATGCCGATCTACAACCGCCTGTTTCCAAGAGCCGAATGAAAAGAAAGGGCAAACAAACTCAGCTAACTGTAGATTCCCAATAAGTAAGAGGCCTGTCGCATCATAATATCTTCGTTATTCCAATATTCAACTTCATTTTAAATTTTACGACAACGGACTGAATAGAAATCTACCTTAAAGGAACCTCAAAGGAACGATAGAAGGCAATACGTTCCGTGGATATTGCATATCATCGAACATAAGCTGGAAAAGTAGGGGCGCCATAAGTGCCCTGTCCCTTGGAAACAATAAGAGTGAAGAGTATCTGCGTATGTAAATGTGAAGATATTGAATGTAAATACGTCTCTGTATGACACTTAGATACTCACCAGATCCTCCTATGTTTATAAATTTGATACCTGACGTTACGTTGTGGGCACTCGTATGTAGAATTTTTAGATTAAAGAGAATGGCACTATTTTGTTCCATATAAATTGGGTGTTTCTGTGTGTGATTCGACACCGTCTATTACCTTACCTCACCTCGCCGGGTGAGTGGTCGGGCCCAGCCCCGCTTGTGGGCTCGTCGCTCCGGTAGGTCGCGGCGCGTGGTGCGGGCATCTCGCCTCATTAAAACGTGACACACGACCGCGATATATGCCTCTATTATATTACAAACGACTGCCAGACTCGCTTTGTCACCGTGTTATTGAAATATAATGTGTCTACATATTATACGTTTCGTTAAATATCCATCGCTGAATTGAAAGCTTAAATTATATTCAGTGAGTGTAAAATTAAAATACGTGTACGGTGTTCATTTTCGAATCTATCGAGCTGGCAGTCTTATTTACTGGCTATTTATTCGAATACAATATTACATTTACAGTACAATTACAGTAAATACAAAAAATAGAATTACAGTATTACATTATATTATTTACATATTATTTACAGTACAAGGGAGGAAACGAGCAGCCGGATCACCTGGTGGTGAGTGACTACCGTCGCCCATGGACACATGCGGGGGGAAGGTTTCCTTTAAGGTGGCAACACCTGGGTAAGCATTCCCCGCGTAAAATAATCGTCAATGGACACTAGTGCGTTGAAACCCCAGCAATGTGAAGGGGCTTCCAGTAACCTCACTTACTAGGTAGGTAGGTAGGTAGGTAGGTAAAGCAACTTAAAAATCACCATGCCGGTTTACTGTGAGGCCGGGTTATTACTCCGGTCGAGTCGACCCATATGCGCCGACGCATGGCTCTCCCACTGCTCTACAATATCAGTGGTAATATTTTGCGTGTTACAAGAAGGTGTTTTAATATTTAACATAAATCATGTTACTGTAATATAAATGATATAATAATTTCAAATAATAATATTTAGTGGTTGAAACATAAAGCATTGATTTTCTCACGTTTCCCCGAAACAATGTTCTTTTCGACATTCAAGTCTAAACGGCCCGTATAACTATATATATATTTTTTTTATTTATAAATTCGAATATTTAACAACGTTTTAGTAATATTGACTACACTTTCATCCGTAACAGATTCTCTTGTGAAAATTAGATTTATCAATATATGAGAATAAAAGGTATGGTCAAAATAACATTTCTTAAAAATCTCTATTTTTCTAAAGTAAAAAACAAGTATAATGTGTATAAGCGCTCAAGGCCTAAAAGCTCCTAACCTAAATCAGTAGATCAGCGTCGTACTAGCGGGTTATAGGTATTATAATAAGTTATCCCATGCATGTGTAGGAAACGTACGTGTTTTTAAGTCAATGTAAAATTCAGCCAACGTAGTTTTCTATGGAGGTAACAGGCAGAGGGCGCATTATGTAAAACTAACTGAATCAGCAATCCAGCGACCCTCGCCGCACCTGTTGTCCCCCGAGCTGGCTTTTCACTCGCTCAGCAAACTTTACTGACTCGAGCCAAGGTACCAGTCGGTAAGAACTAATCGTATATTTTAATCTATCGATGAAGAATGGCGGCGTCCCCTTGTCGGTATTCTGTTTGCACTTGTCTCCCTCAATTACTTTCTGTTTCGGGTTTTATATCAGTGAAATGATTGCAGCACCTTAGCTGCCTATAAAAAAGTAAATAAATACACAGACTAAAACCATTAAAACTAATTTCATATACAGTATTAAACTGTTTTGCTAATATTTGGCAGATTATTTTGTATTTGATATAGTATTTTTAAGGAATAATATAACTTATCCGTGTGGTGACGGATTAAGAATACGGAATGTCCCCACCCCTACTCATCCCGTGGGTGTCGTAAGAGCCGCCTAAGGTAGAAAACTACGCAGGACAACAGCACTGCAAAAAAAAAGGAAAACTTGAAACAAACCCTATACCAACTCGTCTGGCCAGCGTGGTATAGTAGGCCAAAACCTGCTTTCTAAGGAGAGGCCTATGTCCAGCAGTGGACTGTTATAGGCTGTTGATGATTGATTAATATAACTTATATTATTCCTCAAAAACATCACGCCAAAACCCTTCGAAGTGGAATAGTGACAATACACTTTAGTATAATTTAGATTATTAGCCGTAACAAGATTTATACGAAATCGTGAGCTAATTTTCTATTAAATATGTTTAAAGGTCTCGGAGTAGAGCTCGGTATGATGCGACACTATCGGTGTACTCAGAGATTAATTAAATCGTCGTGTCACGCTTCAGGCAGGAGAGGCTTTGTCGACAAGTGCCGTCACTCACATAGTTCAGTCGTTGTAACCCATATTCACGTACTTACTTTTTGGAATTGATAGTTTCGTATAGAAATTTTAATGGTCTATTCACGCGGTTGCCGATGTTCACGGACCGCAGCGTGCTGTTGTATTTACTGTTTGCATTTGTTATAGATTAGTTCAAATATCGAAAAATAAACATACATGTTATTCATTATAATGATACTTCTTATTTAAGCATTGGAAATAAGTAGATACCAACCCAAAGCTAAGACCTTTCATCCATTGCGTTACGAATCATACGAGTACATCACAAATGTTATACATATACCTAAAACAAATATGGGTAAGTTTAGGTCGCATAGCCGCAGGGTGCTCAGCTGAAACTACTTTTTACGTTAGTTTATTTAGGAGACATTACATTTCTCAAGTCAAACGCAAAGTAATACACAAGTTGTATTTAATTTGAACACGTTTATTTCTTAGCTTCACTTGCAACTAACATGTAAACAGACATCATCGATGGTCGGTCGGCGCGATCAGTTTTTTAATTACATTCTTATCCAACATTCAACAGATCCCTGTTTACTACGCAATCTATCCACCTTTTCTCTGATCGTCCTCTACTCTTATATCAATTAACTTCCATAGCTACATTAAACATTCTTAACTACATCTTGCTCATGTCTACGCATCACATGTCCAGCGCAGGCTAACCTGTTGCTCCTTAAATTTTCATCCACTAATTACCCACACAATGTACTCATTCCTCACCTTGTCTATTCCTCTACCTCCTTACCTATCCTTTACCTAACAATCGCATTTCAACCACAAGCAGACGCTAATTTGACGAACCAAAACATTGTTGCTAAATTGTGTGATTTGGAAAGGGATGGGACGAGGTGCGGAGGGTGTACTCTATATGGTTTCCATGCGTTTCACACTATACGTAAGCGGGTTCATATATCGTTCGAAAATCGTAATGGTTAGCCCTCAGGGCATTCAGAGTGGCGTAAGCACATCCTTGCGGTCATTTGGTTTATTTAGACAACTCCAACGGATAATGATAGACTAATGACAAAGCATGATGGTGGATGGATGGGGAGCGGGATGGTGGTTATTATTATAAATAGATGTTTCACATCCAGTGTTTAGGTTATTACGTGTATTGTAGTAAACACAGACGGACCACACACAACTTCGCACAGATATGTTGTGATAAGAGGCCCATAGCAGTAGATCAGCGGGTTGTCGACCACTACCCATCGTGCTGGCCCCCTTCAAACTACGGATGTACGCTCCTATTGGTTACCACTCATTACACTATTATTAATTTGAGAGTATTTTCTTCATATAGTGTAGTGTAGTAGTGTAAACGTGTAGTAATGAAAATTTCTCTTTCTTTGAAATGTCTTGTATAATGATTTTGAGCAATAATTGATAAGGGGCTTACAACCACGTGTTACGGTTGATTGGGTTGCTACTTAATCAAGCAGTAGTAATATTACAGTAACTTAAATATTATACTAGTATTATTATCGGCTGGCAGGAGCTTGATGCGAGAAACCCAAAATCTATCTAAGTGGTGTGCAATTGGAGAGGCCAATGTCCAGCAGTGGACTGCGATAGGCTTATGATGATGATGATACTAGTAGATAGTAGGGTGAGGAGCGGTAACTACAAAATTACCGTTTATTCGCTACGTGATCGTGATACGTGTATGAAACAAAATTGTAAAACAGATTAATATTAAATTTTGCACTCAATTTACTTTATAACCCTCTATCATCGTAGTTATAATAATACGAGTACTATGCGCCTCCCCACACGGGCCGTCTGGTCCAACTGTAACATCTGATTGCTGATAAACATATATTTATTTTTCAAAGACACATACCTATTATATTACAGATAAATTACATGACACATACACAATAAATTAATAATCGTGTTCACAGTTATATATACGAGTATTTGTTCTAGGTGGAAATCATTTTCATTTTAATAACGCTTTTTTTGTTAGCGCGGTGGAAGATCATCAGGATTGGGGGGTGGATTAACGGGTCTCTTAGGCTCTTGCCGACAAAAAAAACTCGTATTTGTGCAAAGTTACTCCCAAGCCCAACGGCCGCGCCATTCGGATCCGCCACACGAAGTTCCGCCCGTGTTACTTCCACCTATGGATCTCTGTCCAAAGTCTCTATCGCCTCTTCGTGGGCCCGAACTTTGGCCAGTGAAATCCCTAACTGGATCACTTTCTAAGCTTATCCCCCTCGTACAGTTCCGCTTGCCTGGCCTTTGAGTCGACGCGACTCGCGACGGTGGCGTAGCGGTACCTGATTGACCGGCTACGCAGATTCTGAGCAAATGAGTAATCTCCATTGAACACTTGTCAGAATTTTAATATCGCTATTATTTTGTAGTTTAAGTTCCTTTAATAACTCAGTTATTATACATAACTGAGTTATTAGTGCATGCACTTACTAATATAAAGTACAGTAACATAAATATAACATTCAATTTCAATTATTCAGTCATTCCTACGCAAGACCTCGAGGTGGGGAGTATTTCATCTGAATAATTTAATTCATATATCGGCAAAGTGTACCGTCAATTTATTATTATAAACTTACGGTACACTTTGACAATACTATTCCATTTTACTTATGTAAGCTCACGTACGTATGTTCAATCTCAGCTATTTAGCACTACTTAATACCTACGTCATTCGAGTAATGTAAACTTGTCCCCTTACGTTACATACTATTTTCAAACAAATGGGTCACACATTAGTAATGGTGTGGTGTTTAGTGTGTTTAGTGTGGTGTGGTGGTATAATAGTTCACGCGTGTATAAAGTACCTGCGAGTAAGAACCGCACTCTGCGCCACCCATTGTACATAGTTAGACGTCCTGGCTTCATCATGATCAAAGGAATCGTATGAATTCAAACTCGAGGCGTCTACTGATTGCTACTGAATAGGTCCACTATTCAGCCGCTGACTCATTTTGATGCGACAAATCGACGTCTAAGATCTGATTACATAGTTAGTTACAAGTGAAGATCATAAATAGTTATGAAATACGAGTATACACATATAATAACAAAAAGCTCGAATGCAGAAAATAGTTTAGACATTTTGAGTGCTCGTCCATCTCCATCCTCTAATGTCCATACTATTTAAACTGCACATCTATCTTAACATTATCAGTTCAGGTATTTGAATATAATCTGCAAGAATATATTTTCCTTGAAACAAATCTATATAAATATGGTGGTTTTATGTGTCCCTAATTTCGAGCGCTGACAGCAGAATTTGCGATAGCGCGGAACCGGTAAGCGGCGACCTCCACGTTCGCTAATGTGACGTAATAACATTAAACAATAGTTCATTATATTAGGGAAGTAGTTATTGAAGGCAGGCAGTCACAGGGTGCGCGTATTGTGGCGGCGCGGTGGCGCGGAGCCGTGCGCGCCCCAGATAAGCTCCTAACGACACGTCACGAGTAATATACATAACGCAAGTATTACATGACGTAGATTATGGATTATGCAGCAAAATCCACTTGCCAACACCAGACTGGAGCTTATTTGTCTCTTCTGGCGCAAAAGAGGAATAAGCTCTTGCAGTGGGAAACACACTGAAAAGGTAGGTAAAGCATATTACGAACACATTTTAACAACTATAATTTTAGCCCGCTAACGTGATGAGCAATGCCATTGCCATCAACTGGGCCCTTTAGGGATTTGATGGTAAACTGGGAATAGTTAAGAAGGTAAAGCGATAGAAAGACAGGGATATTGCTTATACGGATGAATTAGTAGATGGTAGGGAAGCAATAGCTTTCTTTTTTTTCTTTTTAAAAAGACAACGCCCGCATTAGAAATATATACTGTGTCACGGGGGGCTTTACAAACATACATAAAATGGAAACAAAGAACACCCAGACTCAGAACAACAATTTGTGGATCACACACGGCTGGAGCCGGAAAGGGTCGTATACTTTTTTTTTTTTTTTTTTTTTTTTTTTTTTTTTTTTTTGTTGACGGGGTGGAAAATCCCTTCGGATCTCCTGCTCCTCGGGGCTAGGAGCTAGGAGTATGTGGTGATTCCACTAAAAACCACCCCGACGGCCGGCCTCAGGTGTCCTACTCTGGGAGGACCCGGACCATGTTATTTCAGGTCCTCCCCGAAGGGTCGTATACCTAAAACTGACATTGGCTGTTGCTAGAAAGTCCAACTAAACTATCCCGAACCCACTTTAAGAAAATAAAGAAAAGAAAATGAGTTTATTGCCTAAGAAATAAAATCATACTCACTTATTTTTTTTTAGTATCTTAACCCAAATCTGTTTTATATTTAGTTAATTATTATATTAATTATAAAGAGCTCGTTCGAGGAAGCATTCGAACACTATCACTTGATGAATAACGTCGATGAAAGAAGCCGCACATTGAGGTATCATTAAACTCTAAACTTTACCCGAACTCTGTCCCTACTTCGATTGAAAAGGGCGAGGGCAGTTGTTCAACTCACTGAACAAACGTGTCAGCACACTTGAAGTATGGACGATTCGGGAATCACACAGTACATGCCCTCGCTGTGATGGAAGTGATCATTAATTTGTAATACGTCAAAAGTCAGAGGCGCGTGTAATGGAAGTTCAAGTTTTCTCCCGGCAGCCGTTTACTTCTCATCGAAGTTGAGTTTCCAGCTGAGCCATTACTTATTTCTCGTATTTCGAGAAATTTATTTATGAATAGTAGTGATAACACTTTATACATGTACCTAAACTTACCAGTATAATAAAAATATGCTCGATTTTATTAATAAATAAATATTTCGGACATCTAACACACAACGCCATCTAGTTTCAAACTAAGCAGAGCTTGTACTATTAAAGCAAGATTGACTGATAGAATACTTATTTTGTTTTTTTTTTGTAAATACAAACATATTATACATAGAAAACACCTAAACACACAAAACAAATATTAGCAGATCATAAAAACATTTGGTCCGACCCGGGAATTCAAGACCTCAACACAGCACACAGCAGTCGCATACGCTACCTACTGCACCAACGAGGCAGTCGTTATATTATATCCAATTCCGTATTTTAGAGATATTTTGATTTCTTTTTCTGTATTTGTAATCGTCTATTTTGTCTATAATTCTTACATACTGACGCAAAAACTAACTGTTTTTTTTTTGTCTATAATTTTTTGGATATTATGTAATTCAAAATTAGTAGTAGGTAATTCACTAGCCCGCCTAATGAGCTTCGATATAGAGGTATAAAGTAGACCTTAGGGAAGGTCATAGGTAGCTTTGTGCCCTCCACTTGTGACCCCATATTAAAATTTGTTAATTTCCGATGCACATCTATGTTTTAGCCACGTAGCTTTGAAGCTATTAGACTATAACAGACAGAGCTATTGGACTAAACAGATCAACCAGTGATCCCTTAAGAATTCTATTTGAGTAAACAGAATCCTTAAAGGATTAAGGATTTATGTTTTTATTCAGAACATAACACGAAAACTAAAATAATATAAGGACGAATAATCTATGCTAATGATAATGGGCGGATGTGCCTTATGTATGTAGCGGTAAGTAGCGGTTGTGCCACCGCGATATACCTACAAATTAAATTTGATCTATCAATGAGAGTAGACTTGTTCACTGTAATTGTTTATTTTATTTATTTATTTATTTTTTCTTTATTTATATATAAGTAACAAGGAAATGTCATGTACAAAGGCGAGCTTAACCCAAAACTGAGTTTTCTTCCAGCAAACCTTGAGCGAATAGAGGACAACAGAGAAACGTAAGGGCACAGTCATGCGTACGTAGGAATCAACACAGAAAAGCATAAAAATTAAACAAATACCGACATTAATTAGGATAGTAAAATATATTATATGTATAAATACATATATATATATACACATAGATACATAAATAACAAGGGTCTGATTATTGAAGGGACAGATAATAATCCCTGGTTCTCTTCCTGAACACGATCAGAGAAGGGCTATTGCGTATTGCATGCGGTAAGGCATTCCATAGCCGAACAGCGGCAACACTAAAAGAGTTGTCATAACGACTCGAAGTGTGGGAGGGAGTTGGAAGGAGGAGAGAAGAAGAAGAGCGACAAAGATTGTTCCTGGGAACAAAGTGCTCGAAGCGAATAAAGTGTATAAAGTTGAATAGAGTAAGGAAAGAATGTGGAGATCTCGACGCCGCCGAATAGGTAACCAATTTAGTATTGTTCTTAATCGTGGAAGAAACTTCATCAATTTATAAACCTCTCAGGAGCTTTCCTGTAATTATTAGACCAAAGTGACTTCAGCACGGGTGGGATACACACAGTGAGTTCAACGTTGCTTCCTCATCGACAATACATAGTTCACTGGCTCACTAACTTCATTCTACATTGCGATAGAAGCAGTTTTATAGAAAAAGCTCTGAAACTAACCTGTTAACTAGCATGGGGCTCATTAGTTTTGTAGGAACAGTGTTTGAGCTCCAGTGTTGGTACGTGTACGGTAATCAAAGACACGTGAAGAACCCTCGCTCAGCTCAGTAAATGCTTAAGACAAAGTTTGATGTACTCGTAATGAAAATACAAAAGCAACTGCCACTTCCGTTTCCCAGTGAAGATGTTTTACAACCAAGTAAATCAAGATAATACCTGCTACAGTTAGTCACCTGGTGCGTTGTGCCTTAAATCAGTTGGTTCAGTTTATTTTGTCTTAGTAGGATGTTTTATTTATATTTATGTTATTGAACCTTGCGATGTTGAATCGTCACTTATTACTTCTGTGGTTAACTAATACAGTTCCTCTTTACCATAGATTTAAAAGACAAAAACTATCTCCTAATATCCATACTAATATTATAAATCCGAAAGTGTCCGTCTGTCTGTTTGTTAACTTTTCACGCTTGCACCGCTGAGCCGATTTAGATGTTTGGTACGAGATAGTTTGAGTTCCGGGAAAATTGTTTTTATTCCAGAAATTATCCTTTAAAGTGGTGACAAGGAGGTGGAAGTTTGTTTATCAATAACCGCTGAACCGATTTAGGTGAAATTTGGTATGGATATAGTTTAATTTTCGATTTAAGGACATAGGCTACTTTTTACCGCGGTAACCGACGTACTCGTACACTCGCGCGGAGTTACGGGAAAAGGCTAGTACATATAAATGGCAGTAAACATGAATAAATCAGCTTTAAAGTGTGTCTTGAAAATTTACTTTCTTTTCACTAATAGTACCAACAATTAGAAAGGATTTCGGATAAGAGAGAGAGATTCTATAATGAAATCCCTGCTCGTAATAGAAAGCTCAGCATTAATTAGTTGAAATGTTTCGTACAGAGAAAATTATGATACAGTGAATAGTTTAGTCTTCATACAAGTCTTGTACCGAGTAAGTCTTCCCTCCACGTCGTGAGTTGAAATTGCTTTCATCCTCAAACTATTTAAAATGTCCTTGAAAGTGTGCGCGTATGATTTGTTTATTTTCTTAGTTTCACTGTTTGCAATTATCTAATCAAATGACTTACAGATTCCATATCACTACATACATACTACATACATAGAATATGTAATAATATGGCTACTTGGACAGGCGGCCCAAGTTTGTAGCGAGTTTCTTTTAGCGTGAACTCTGCACTTTGGAACTCTCGACTACATTTTTTAGCTTGACGTTTTATGTAAGCACTCACATGTACAATTATTTATATGTTTTTTACGAAATAAAAAAGTCTGAGCCGATTATAGTACAAGTTTATACATAGAACAGGTAATGTGGTATTTGTGTATACACGCGTGTGCGTTTAGGTAAATGTGTATTTTGTTGATGTGTGTGTGATGGTGCTGTATTCGCACTGGCTATAGATATGGTCCGGTTTTGGTTCATCAATCACGATAATAATATGTTGACAGAACGAATGCGGGCGGATTTTTATACAAATACATAGAATGCGAAAATTTTATTATCAATACAAAACTGCTTATTTTACTGTATATTTGTTTATTTCCCTGTTTTGTAATCCATTTCCTTGTCCGTTTCCTATGTATTTTTTTGGTAAGTTACTTTGTTTAAGTCGCGTAGGTTTTTGCCACACATCATCTAGGTAAACTGGCGATATATACTTAAACCCCAATAAATACGATAATCTTTCTAACTATTAGTTCTTATTCCCTCGTTTTCACATCAACAATCTTTCTGAACTTTATCTTTATATACCAATTACTTGATTTCTTTTTGACCTAGTTTTATTGTCACAATCTTGGCTTTTCTTTAAAGACTGCGGTTGAAATAGTGGTACTCTCTAAACATTGTCTATGGAAATACTTTTAAACACATTTATTGCAGCTTTTAAACACATTTATTATTTTTAAATGTTTTCTTTTTTAATTAATAAAAATGTGTTATACGAGTATTTTAGTATTTAAAATAAAACAGTTATTATGCACTTTTTCCTACGATCAATGTGTGAGTTGTGAATAAACGCTTGACACCTACATGAATTTTTTTGTAGAAAATTTCGCTACACATTTCACTACATTTAAAATCGGTTGAATGATTGCCTAAGGATTCTTAATAATATAATCTTCTTATGGAAAAACTCTCAAAGTATGTAATAGGTACGTCATGTAAAAAAAAAAACATTTTACTTGGGTTATATTGTTGATGGTATTTTTATTTTTAGTAAACGAATTTGTTAAGTGTTAATTTAGTGAAAGTGGTAGATAGCAATCAAGAGTTTGACTGGTATGTCGTTAGCTCGTCGTCCATCATAGCGATAGGCATCGTAATTATATTAGTAGCCAATATTGCGAGTGGTCCTACAGCCGGCCAGCGGCGGTGGACCCAGTGGCTCGGTGCTGGTCCGGGAGGCTGGTGTCGGTGTTGGTGGCGCGTGGTGCGTGGTGGCCGAGGCGGGGCTTGGGCGCGGGGAGCGGGCGCGGCGCCGGGGCGGGCGCCAGGCGGAGCGCGCGCTCGCCGCCACTGCCGGACCGACCGCCGCCGTACTCGCGCCATCCGAACTCGCGCCAACCGCGCTACTTCTTACGAATTACACGCGCTGTGATCCAACACCAACTCGACAACCACCCACTAGTGAGACCTGTGAAGTGAGCATCCAAGTGTAGTGCACGGTTACACTCAGTTCAGTGCTGTTCGAGAGTTGTTTCAAAAGTTGCGCGCGGGAAAACTTTCAGCAAAGTTTCAGCAGGTGCCAAGTGGACGCCGCACCGAACTGAACCGCTACCGCAACGTCGCTGCATCTCAAGCGCAACACTCCTGTGTCGCTATCGCCTTCGTTATCACAGGTAGAGGATTGCTTCACAACATCTGATTATCATTATCAATCGATCACAGTTATGTGCATATTTAAATTTGCAATTTTATAAAAACAAAAATTACTTTCCGAAAATACTCTAGTAATAAAATAAATAAGCTTTAACGAAAAGAGGGAACTCTTATGTAACAAATGATATTAATTTAGAACGTGACGAGTTTGTTTTACATTGTGTAAAGCAAACATGTGTCACAACATTGAACTCTTCATTTGTTATAGTGTCCACTACAGAACACAATAATTAACAGTGTGAGCGCTGAGTGATGACGCCGATCAGTTACAAGTGCCCGCTGAGGCGCGGGTCGCCTTTTATCTTAAATGCGTCTCCGTCACAACCATTACTTACATCGTATGAAACTAAACTTTGAACAGACCTACAGACTACGCAGACTTATTTTCTTAGAATCACTGAATTCGTCAATAACAGTTAACAATAGATCTACTTCTCTACTCCACTAAAACTATGATACTAAAAAAAATGAATAAGAATTCTCTGTAGAGTTAGTTGTCACCCTCCTCGTTAGAAGATAAGTGTAAATTCTTAAAGAACAGAACTTAGCTTTTGAATTGCTTTAAATCCGCAGCGTTAATTGTTTCAGCCTAAGTATGAGTTGATAGCGACATCGCGGATCATCTCAAACTGTTAGATATAAGTATAGATAATATCAACCAGCCGATACGGTTTTGTACCAAGATACTGTTCATTCCCGTCGCTCATATTGTCGCGTGCTTCGCAGCCCCAGTCACCCAATACATTAGTGATCCAAAAGCTACGCAGGTCATCATCTTGTATTGCTTGATTATATTATTTAGTAATACAGACTTGTCTTTAATCTCCAGCAACATAATTTCAGAAAATATTCTATCCTTGAATTTATTTCGTCTACTAAAAATCTCTTAAGAACTAATCTGCACTTTCGAGAGACAGCCGTTCAATAAATCTGCATTTTGAATGCACTGAAGATACATTATAACTCTCCAAACCGGTTCTGAAAATAAAATTGTGGTGAGATACATTTCTCAAAACCATTTCATGTGAAATATTATGACAATAATAAGAATATCATTTCATACAACATCAAAACAAAACGATTATTTAAACTATCAACAGAGTCTTATATGACAAACGCACTTTTAGTTCCTTATATTTTTTAGAACGATTTTTTTTTCGATCTTATTTACATAATTTGATAAATGATGAATTCGATTTTATACGAGTAGATAGAACGGAATCAACCTGACACAGACCTGCTGTTTAATAAATCTGTAATCCTTAATAGAATTAACCGAGGAACCAATCGCAGTCAGTCTGATCTGAAATCAAAGGCGGAAAAATGTTCATTTTCCTCCAGCAAAGCTCCCTTGCAGTGCCCTCAGCCGAATACCAAGAGCTAAAATAAAAAATAGACTATTGTTGTAGGAAATAATATCTTGCCCGTAAGGTACCGGCACTTCAGCGAACGGCGAGTATCTACTACTCTGTAAAAAATGTGTGTAATCGTATATGTATTAGACAATGTTGACATCTAGACCTTAAAGTTAATCTTTGTTGAGGTCGTAACTTGAAAATCTTCAAAGATACTGTGTTGCACATATTTGTCAAGTTGGCTTCGACAAACACTTATTGGAAAAGTTTTGCGCCATCTCTCTCAGAACCGCCGATATTAACTGTACTTATAATAATGTGGAGTTCAAGGGGCCTGTCACCCTGCACCAAGTGTTTTTGAGATAGGTCACAAAACAAATTGGGTCCACGAATGTTAGTCTGAGATGTATTTAGATCAGCCTGTAGATCAATGATGTATTTTTAAAAGAAATAAGAAGTTTATACACTTCGTATTGAAAGAGCAAAGTTTAAACATGCTCAGATATTTATAACATTTAATACACAAACGAACCACTATTACATATTTTTTTAAAACGGCTAACCACTGGAGAAGAAAAAATTGAGAGGAAAGGAAATTACAGGCATAACTAGTCTGTAATTTCCTTTCATCTCAATTTTTTCTTATTATTTTTACGTACTAATTTTTGCATGATATTTTCTATGAGTATAAGCAGTGTATTTTGGTCTCGTGGTATTATTTTTCATGAAACGATATTCTTTGGTCTTTCAGCGTCAACATGAATGCAAAAAGTGCACCCTTTTGTTGTTGTGGTGAGGTTTACTTTTGACGCAAAATATAAACATAGCACATCTACAGTGGTCATCTTTTTGCATTTTCCTCAACTTTATTTGGAGTCGGTACAGTGTGTAATATTACCAGACACCCAGCCTCCTTGGGAATGCAATCGTTTTTCAATATTCACCGTCAAGCGGGACCAAGGAGAAGATAATTTGGATTAGGAAAATTGGTAGAGTTAAGAAGTGTCCGAAATAGGACTGAGACCGTAGCAGCTCAGCGAGAGCAGGGGCGCGAGGAATCAACGGGCTCTGACATTTCCATACTCTTATAACTTCTACGTTTATTAAAATTTATAGAAGCTGGTAAAGATTTTAAAGCACTCTATGGAGATTCATTTTGTTATCCTGAATTTATTGGCACAACTTTAGTTCTTAGAGAGAGTGAAAATTATGTAAGTAAACCCCAGTAAGATGCAAGTTACAATAATCGGCAGCTCCAGACTTATCGCAAAGGTTGACTGGCTTTCACTACCACAAGTATCTTTACAAGGAGTAACAGTGTCAAAAATTTAAGGATTTACATCGACAAAACCCTCTCATGGATTGCTCAATTACCAAGTGTTAGCTGTGAACTATTTGCCTCTGCAACTTGTTTAAGAAGGTCACCATAATTTCTAACTACCACTAAAATTGAACTTACACAATCAATTCTTCTACCCATTCTCGACTATGCCGATGTCAGCTATCTTGATCCGAACGAGGAACATTTTGATAAACTTGAGAGACTTCAGAATTTCTGTATTCGATTTATTTTTGGCTTGCGCAAATATGACCGTGTTTCCGAATTTCATACAAAACTCAAGTGTCTCCCAATTCGGCTTCGCCGGAATACTCACATCCTGTCATTACTGTATAATACTCTATTTAATCCTAGAACCCCTATCTACTTACAGAAGCGATTCGCATTTATTCATGACACACATACTCGATACTTGAGATCATCGGAAAATCTGACCTACACACACGCTACATATTACTATATAGTATAGTCCATCTAAAGAGTTGCCTGGAAGAGATCGCAGACTGCGATATGGCCGCCCATTGTATCACTGTTTTTTTTGTATGTATCCTAATTTTGATGTGCAATAAAGAATACCTCTCTATCTATATATATATAATTAAATAGCGATGTACGTGATGCACTAAGTGTGGCGCCGATCCCTCTCCTCCGCTTGTAGCTCCGTGCCTATCTTAGGAGCGAAATCTTTATTCATTTAGGTCACTGAGTAATGCTCATGAACGTGGAAATTCACTGCTTTCACGTTTGCATTTACAGTGGAAGTGCCACCGTCAGCACTGTGATTATATTTATTTCTCTATGACGTTTGCAGAAGCTCGAGTTTTTATCCTAATAAAGAAAAAGATAAAAAATCCTGCAGAAGTAGAAATAAACTATTATGTATCTACTCGGTACAACATTTTAATAATTTTATATTTGTATTAAGATTAATAAGTTGTTGTTCTATCTAAAATAAGCAGCACAATGCTGAAGTCACTCGTGGCTGACGGCTTTTTGGCTCATGGTATTTATTGATTACTTGTTAACGAAACGGTTTCTCTTATTTTAATCTTTGGGCCTTCGAGCATAAACTAATTGTGTCTCTTTCTTATTTCTTCCCTGTGTGTGCAACTTAGGACGACTAAAGTCATATTTTGAATGTAGTGGCCATTATAAAGAACCAAAGAACTGGATTAAATTACGTGATTACCTTATATACGTACAATACATTTACAATATAGCAGTATTTTGGAAGCTTTTCTGTCAATTGTCCAAATGACTCGACTTTTTACCGCAATCTAATTTGACAGAAAAGTTGTAGCAGGGAGCCGCTCCACACTTCCAGCGGCGAGGTAAAGCGCGATTACATCGAACTTCTGGTTTCGTAACATAAAAATGACATAAGAAGTGTTATCTCATTACAATATTCCTTATGTCCGTTTTTTGTCCAGAACTGTTGAGGATTGAAAGGCTCCGGGCAAATAGTACATATAAAATCGCGATATCAAGGTCGACCAGTGGCTTATACCCGCCACGAATATCGCGTCGGTTAGAGGAGAACGATAGCCCTACTGATTCGTCACTTGTCATTCTGATGAACTAAATGTTTATTTACTTCATTAGAACCTGTTTAGAGAATAACGTGAATGTAAATTAAATGTGTGTAAAATGTAAACTTATTAGCATGTACCATACATTTAATATTTTCACATCTTAACGTTGACTAAGTGAAAATTACTAACTCATTTATTATATTTAAAGACATCTCCCGCACTAGGAATATATCCTGTGTCGCGGGGGACTTTACAAACATACATGAAACGGACACAAAGAACACCCAGACTCAGAACAACAATTTGTGGATCACACAAAGTGATGTCCTGTGTGGGGATCGAACCCACAATACTTTAGCGCATTAGGATGCGGCGAGGTGACCGCTTAAGCCACTACGCCATCCGTGCAGTTGAGCATCCGAAATATTTCACATTCAGCGTAAATGCGCAATATTTCGAATCTCAAATCTACTGTAACTGTTCTATTGTTTCTACAATTTTGATTTAGTAAAATTTACTAGTATATTGTTTGTCATATTAATGAAATTTTACAT